TGGCCTTGAACCCACAGAGATCTGCCTGCCTCTGCCTCCCTAGTGCTGGGATTAAAGGCATGCGCCACCATGCCCGGCAATAAATCTTTTTAAAAGTTAAAAAAAAATTGTTAAAAGTGCATTTAAGTTTTGGGTCAAATAGGTATCAATTTTAACTGTTTTCTTAGGAAAAATATCTCTTCATGTTAGTTTGCTTTTGGTTACTTTTTGTAAAGTTAGAGTGACATGTGTTGTGGGACATTTTCATAGAATTAACAGACCATGCTGAGGTACCTTTCTTCCAGGTAGTTTTTACTTTCCTTTGACAATCTGTTATTTGTTGCATTATTCAAAACTTTGTGGCATCCACAGTGGAACAAAATGGGTGTCAGTTATCTGTGCAACACATACCCTTCAACCCCCTTTGCATTAAATTTAATATTGATTATGAAGACAGAGCACTTTTTATCTACTTAGGAGTTAGTGCTGGGCTTTTTGCTCAAGGTGTTATAGAAATATCTTTCCTATGACTTCTAATTCAGTTCAACCACTAATGAATATCTGTGACAAGGTATATGGAGAAATAAGAGGAACTTTGCATTCATTACTTGTCTCACTGCTGCAACAAAATATCTGACAGAAGCACCCTGAAGAAGGATGGGTTCATTTTGGTTTACAGTTCCAGGAGATGCAGTCCACATGGCGAAGGGGATGGTAGCAGGAACAGGAGGCAGCTGGCCACACTGTGTCAGAAGCAGAAGCAGTGAAGCTTGTGTCCGGCTTGCTTCCTCCTTTTTGATCAATCTGAGATCCCAGCCCATGGGATAGCACCACCTACATTTAGAAAGTCTTTACACCCTGGTTAAGCTAATCTAGACAACCCTTCACACATCTAAATCAAGCTGCAAACAAGAGTATCCATCATATTGTTCTTAATACTGCATGTTGCTAAGTACAGTTCATTCAAGGAAAATGATTTTCATAAGGAAAGTAGAAATGTAATGGTATGTGGTCTTAAGGAAGGAGAATCTATAGTTCGTAATAAGAATATTCATTTAGTCAATGTTACTGATATTTATTGGTAATCTGTTATTCTGTATTCTATTACTAGGGAATGGGGCATAGCAAAAGCTGTCTCTGTTTCCTTGGAGCTAATATTCTAGTTAGATAATCCAGACAGCACACAAATATACATACAGCAGTGGGAATGTTAGGGGAAAGTAATGTGAAAGGTTAAAGGTATCAGAGAGGAACAGCAGCAAAGAAGGGGTGTTGTTCTGTGTCAAGAAAGAGGAGCAGGCCTAAGTCCTGTGGCTAGCTCAGGCTGAGCTGTTTGGGCTGGGAAGGCAGCTGATGCACTCACATACATTCAGGCAATACACTCCTACACATAAAATAAAAATCATAAATAAAATTTAAAAAAAAGACCACAATGAAAAGTAGCCAGTTTTTTGGCTAAAAATCAAAATGTCCTTGGGCCTCTTAGCAACATATTCTGTTCCAAAGGCTGAAAATGTCAAAAATATTTGGGAGCTCTTATGCAATCCCTAAAAGACTTTAGGGTTACCTCTTCAGAGGGGGGAATATTAGAGTAGTAAAAAGCCCCATTTTTTTTTTAAAAAAAGAAAGTACACAAACTTGTTCAGGAAAAAGTGATGGGGAGATATGGGAAGAGTTGGCGGGGAGGGAGTGAGTGTGGACTTAGTCAAAACACCTTATATGCATGTATGAAATTCTCAATAAATCTTTTTTTTTTTTAGTTTTT